GTTCAGCCTGGAGAAGAGAAGGCTGCGGGCAGAGCTGAGTGCGGCCGGTCAGGGCTTCAAGGGGGCCCAGAGGAAAGGGGGGGACAAGCTTTTTGGTAGGGCCAGCTGGGACACAACCAGGGGGGATGGCTTTAAACTGAAGCAGGGTAGGGTTAGACTGGATCTAAGGCAGAAATTCTTTCCAGTGAGGGTGGTGAAACCCTGGCAGGGGTTGCCCCGAGAGGGGGTGGAGGCCCCATCCCTGGGAACATTCCAGGCCAGGTTGGCCGGGGCTGTGAGCAACCTGATGTGGTTCAAGGTGTCCCTGCTCCTGCAGGGGGGTTGGGCTGGGTGGCCTCTGGGGGTCCCTTCCCACCCAAACCATTCTGTGATTCTATGATCCCACCCCCAAACCCTGGCCCTCAGCACCGCCTCTGCCCGGCTGTTAAATCCCCCCAGGGGTGGGGACTCGACCCCTTCCCTGGGCAGCCCCTTCCAGAGCCTGACAGCCCCAAGGGGAAGGAATTTTTCCTAGCGTCCAACCATATAATTCCTCTTCCTACAGAACTTCTCTGTAACAAGCAGTCTTAAGTAAAGGTGATTTGCGCCCGATCTGACATCAAAACATAGCTGAATAAAATTAGTGTTTGGTCCTGCACATGGTAAATTGGTTGCTAATGCATGAAATGGCTAAAAATGACATTAATTACACCCACTGCTCAGTAACTGGGCCCGCAAAGTATATGGTAATTTGGCAGGTGTACCCTGTACGTCAGGCATCGCTGGGGGCTGTGGATGGAGCGGGGTAGGGATGGTGCTCCTTGACAAGCCATGTTGCACTAGCTAGACGTTACTGTACTGGAGCAATTATTTTTTCCTTTAGAAATGAGAAAGATTTAAGTAGCTCTGCATTTTTATTTATATCCTTCAGAAACTAAAGCCTTTTCTCCCCCCTTCGGCAGCGCAGTATGCTCGAGCTGCTCTATCGGCACGAGATCGGGGTTGCTGTGGACATATCCAGCCCTCCATTTCCCATGCAGGATAACCCCGGCTCTTCCACTCGGGTCCCACTGGCCCCAGCTGGGTCTGAGCCCCCCCCACCGCCTATCCCCAGCTATTAGCTTGGGTGTGTGGCCACGCGGCTGGGGCAGGTTTGGGGGTGTCCATGTGCTCATCGTCTCGTCGGGGCTTGTGTGTGGTTTTGGGCAAACACATTCCTTTTGATGTCTTGAGTTCATCCTGACGCCTCTCCTCTTCTTCAGGAGTTTAATTGGGTCTCTCCTCTACAGCGTTATGGGACTCGTGGGAAAGTCACGTCTTGGAGAGCTCCTCCGCTGTCAAATTTGGTTGCGATTGACTGATAAAATTCAGAAGTTAGATGAGAAGAAATAGAACGTGGTCATTTTTCTCCCGTTTCCTTGGGAAATCTTGCTAACAAAAGATGCCTAGAAAGAATACGTATGGCAGCCTTGTACCGCCGATCATAACCTTGTAGTTGGCGCTTACTCTGCGATCACCGCTTCCCCCCTTCGAGCAACAGTGCCAATGCCCTGACCCTGCAGCTACGTAGCCAGAACTTTTTATTTTGAACCGTACAAGAAAACCTGTTCTCTAGCCTTTTTTTTTTTTTTACATCATATCCAGGTCAAACTTTGTCAAAGAACAGTAGGAAGGTCACTTACCTTCCTGGAGTCCAGTTCTGTAGAAGAAAACAGTGGTGATGGGTGGCTGGGTAAAAACCTCGAAGGTCTGCTGATGAAAAGTGCTGAGCGGAACAGGAGACGGACCTTATTTCATACCGTGCTCTGGAAGCTGATGTTTTCACTTGTTTATTAGATGGCGTGGAAAGATCAGGATTTTCAAACTTTGGGAAGTCGTGAGAATGTTCTCAAAAATGAGACACAGTTAGAAAAATACTGCATTCTGTCTCTTTATCTTTGGGTTTGAAAGCCTCTTGTCGCTTCGCGTTTTCAAAATTTCTCATCAAAAGTGTATATAGTCTGATACGTTATTTGTCTCGCTAAATACTTACCGTGAATAAAATCAAGGGAAAAGTATGTCCATCAGTATCATTAAAGCATTGATTGAAAGCCTTGAGAAATGTTGCTAGAAATGGCCTGTTTGGAGCTTGTCTCTAATTTCAGGAATTCCCTTTGCAAAGCCTAAGTGTATCGCCGAGATGTCTTCTAATGTGTCGTGGAAGCCGCTGGGCTTTCCTTGAAGAGGTGCCGTGTTGCACCTTCCTGCTAGAGCAGGAGAGCCTCCAAATTGAAGTAGAAAGTAAAAGCGAGAACTTGCCTGGACACCAACATGAAACCAAGTTCTTGGTCTTTGTTAGTCAGAGAGAAATCCACATTCTGAAAAATGTTCTTTAGCAATAATGTTGATTAGATGAAGCTCACTTGATTATTTTTTAAAAACCTGTGAAATGAGGCCTTTTTAATACCGGTATTAAGCAGCATAGTTCCCCAGTCCATACTAATTTGCATCACTTGAGAATCCGGCCCTTCAATATTTAATTTACTGACCTTTATGTTGTGGTGAAACAAATGACTTTTTAATGACTCCAGGAGACTTATTTGCATTTTAAAATAAAACCGTCATCTACGTTGCCAGGGAGCTACTTTATAAATACAGCATTTGTTGAGAAATACATACTAGGTACTTTAATTTAATTTAATTATTTAATCAACCTACTTTTTATTTTCAGGGTTGTGTCCTCTGTTGTGACCTCATGGTTTAACTGGGAATAAAGATGAGTATAAGCAGTGATGAGGTTAACTTCCTGGTATATAGATACTTGCAAGAGTCAGGTGAGTTTTTACCGTTCTGCTTGTTGAGCAATGCATAATTTCTTCGGTATTCGTCTGCAACCGGCTCTAGCAAACGCAGACTCAATTAATTATTTTGCCAGTAGGCACGTGCTTCTGTCTGAACTGTTTCTTGGTGTTTCTTCCCAACAAGAGAATGAATTCCTGCCAAGTTACCTTCTGTAACTTAATCAGATTTAGTCATTTGGAGTCTTCAGATGGCAGTCAACCAACTAAGGACTCACTTGATTGCTAGAAACGCATTTTCCTGGAGATCACTTTTCTGCAGGGTGACGATGACGCTTCGCACCATTTTTCTTGGGGGGGCTACTTGAAGAAATAAAAAGGATGCCCACCAAAACACTGGTGTGGGTTTTTGTTTGTTTTTTTTTTTCCTGTTCTGCCTTGGAGCGATGGCCCTCCTGCGAGCTGGCCTTCCGCGGCTGAATTCCTCGCCTCAACGCGACCCTAGGAGGGCAGATTTTGCTGTATTTCAGAGGAAGAAGGGGCAGCTGTGACCACATGACTCGTATCATTTGAATCTAAATACAGATGAACAGAGGGGTTGTTTTTTTTTTTTACAGGAATGACTCTTGGGTTCTCAGAAGCTTTCCTCCCTGCAGGGCATTTTCTTGGAGGGTTTTGTTCTTTGGTGCCAGGCTAGCCAGAGCCTCCTGCTGCTTAGGAGGAAGAGCAAAGGACAGATGAGTTATCGTCAAACTCGAAAACAAACTTTAGGCTTCTTGAAAACGCATTTGACTGATGCAACATCACGGACTTCTCAAATTGAGATAAAGAAGCACCAGAAGCAATGGTGGATGGCGGAGTTTTTCAGTCTCTGCTTGTCAGAAGAAAGCAGAAGCTCGTTGTTCCGCCTGAATTTACTGAAAACTGCTACGCTTTCTTATTCTGGTTGCAGATTGCTTTTGTCAGAGAAGCACGACTTACAAAATTGCTTTATCTCCATCTGAAAGTTTGCAAGTGGCTTCTGAGTTACCTGACAGCAAAAAAATAAATAAATAAAAAAAAAAATTAAAAAAGAAAGATAAAATCAGTAGTTTAAGGAAAAGTTCAGTGACAGTAAAGTTAATTTGCTGGAACAACAATTTTTCTCTAGGATAAATTTGCCTTTTCAGGGCGATCAAATAAATAGCAAGCAAGTACCAGCACTGAACTGTCCCGTGCTTGCCACTTCTTGGTCGGTGCCTGATGTAATTCTCAGGGCCAAAACAGGCAGGAGTGACAGCGCTGTCCCACCAAGTGAGTTCTGTTCTACCTACAGGTCCAGTTCGCTTTCATGGGTAACAAAGCAGCGAGTAAAAATAACAGAGTCTTGGCCTCTTGGAGAGAGATACTTTATTAAATACTGTATACGATACTATACATATATATGTATACAAATATATGTAGGTACTACTGCACACTTTGTATTTTTACATGTACTCACGCACAAATGTTTTGCCAATGACACCATCGTTAATGATTGCTGTGTTTCTATTTAAACCAAGTTTTTCTCTTTTTGCACATTTAAACTAGAAACGTCTAAGAGGGAAATGGCAGGGGTGTTTTGAGGAGGGTTTTTTAGTTCGTAAGCACGCTGTAACGTTGTATAACTTGCTTAGATCTGCAAACAGAAGGTCCTGCAGCAGCATGGCAAGTCGCGTTGTCTACCTGTAAATCCATTCTGATGCTTTTTGCCTTGTCTTTAGGGTTTTCCCATTCAGCATTTACCTTCGGTATAGAGAGCCATATCAGCCAGTCTAATATAAACGGTGCTCTGGTGCCACCAGCTGCTTTGATTTCCATCATCCAGAAAGGTCTGCAGTATGTAGAGGCAGAAGTCAGTATTAATGAGGTAAGGAGGCTTTGCCTGCAGGAGCATCATGTCCTTGCTTGCAGTAAGTTTGAATGTTAGTATTTTTTTTTCTTAACTTTCTTGTATCCTATTTATCTACTTTTACTTCAGATTCCTTACTGCTGGTGTTCACCATGACTCCAGTGGTGGAACCAGAATGGAGTGACATTACTGGGTAGGGGTTCTGCCCAGTGCAGCCACACAACACCAGGCATGGTGTTCTGGCTCATTGCTTAAAGGTCCGTTGTCTGTAGAGTTTTTACCCTCATGTAATGTCGTAGTAAAGCCAGACAAGTGCAATAATAAGATAATCATTGAGACGAGTAACCTCTTTAATTTTTATTTTCGTAGATTTGTGCTAAGGAGGTGGGAGAGCACTGCGCAGCTCTCGCTTGGGTGGTGTGTGGTTGTAATGAAGGAATGAGGGCCCCCAGGCAAGGGTTCCCAAACAGAGGGAGGGTTTCAATGTGTGGCAGGAAGGATGACGGTATACGCCAGTTTGCTTTTTGCCTCTGCTGGCTAATTCATCCGGAGCAGGATCTGTTAAATTTGGTGTTCAAATGGCTGTTCCAGCAGCACAGAAGTCTCTGTGTCCTCCTGCCAGACGCTGCAGATGCTCGCCCTCCATGTCCATTCTCATTTGTGCCTGGAAGGTTCGCAGCCTTGGTGTACGCCACTTCCATTACAGAAGGAAATGATGGGTTTCACTAATCCTGCTCTCCTTCCAGTCTCCCATATGTCCTCTGTTTGTGTAGTTTTCATAGTCCCAGTGAAGCAAATCTTTTCCCTTAGGAAGCCTCAGAAAAATAAAGCAAGTGATTGGAGTAGAAGAAGGAGACCCTATATTTATCGCAAGGAATCCTTCTAGCTCCTAAAAATAGATCCTTACAAAGCCCTAGCATATGTATAAGGGTATTTTTAACTGGGTCTTGTCCATTTCAGGATAAAATTCTTCCTTGTTGTTTGAAAGCATGCCAATGCTGTTTAAAAAAAGGAAGAAAACGAGTCAAGTCTGCAGATAATGTGTTTATGGAAAGTATTAGTCTAATAAGAGAGCACAACTTCACAAGCCGCTGACCTGACTTGCAATGTTTGCAGCTCTTCAAACAAACCATTAGATTTTGTTGCGGCCACTCCTGTTTGAAATCATATTCATAGATAGCTTACAGGATTTTTTTGCTTTAGCAGACGATTTAGCAAACTCGAAGCATAAAAGTTTTGCTGGCAGAGGCTCTGCCAGAGGCCCGTGGTGGCTTTTTTTGCATATTGATGGTGCCCGCTAACTTTAGACTAAAATTCCAATCCTAATCTCAACAATGATGAGATACCACTTCCGCCACCATTTGTAAACCGGTTTATTGTATTAAGTCGAAACTTTCTGCTTTCGTTTTCCTTGGAATTTTCGCCCGTCATGTTAATTTGTACTTGGTGTTGTCTTTTTTTTTTTTTTTTTTTGTTTGTTTGTTTGTTTTCTCCCTCTGCTGGAGTTTAGGATGGTACCTTGTTTGATGGTAGGCCGATAGAGTCTCTCTCACTGATAGATGCCGTAATGCCTGATGTGGTCCAGACGAGACAGCAGGCCTACAGAGACAAACTTGCACAACAGCAGGCAGCAGCTGCTGCAGCAGCAGCCGCCACCAACCAACAGGGATCAGCGAAAAACGGAGAGAATACCGCAAATGGGGAGGAGAACGGAGCACATACTATAGCAAGTAAGTTGAGACAGAAATGACCTTAACCTGCGTTCATGTCCTTCCCTGGTCAGTTATCGCAGTACGGGCTCGTAGAACGAGCGCGTAGGCGACGAGGTAAATGCGCGGAGGTAATAGCAGCCCTTCGGCTCGCAGAGAACACCTTCGTCGCAGGAGGGACTTTAACGGATGGCATCTCACCTTTGGCTGTCCCCAATTTGGTATTTGGAATTGCAAATTTCTGAATTGACAGCCGGCTGAATATGAGCCAGCAGGGTGCCCAGGTGGCCAAGAGGGCCAGCGGCATCCTGGCTTGTATCAGGGGTGGTGTGGCCAGCAGGAGCAGGGCAGGGACCGTGCCCCTGTGCTGGGCACTGGGGGGGCCGCCCCTC